CAGCTTGAAGCTCCACCTCGTCCGGTAGCTTGGCGGCCCCGAGAGCTCCTGCCAAGGCTCGGTTCTCATCCTTTAAAGCCTTGCTCTCCTCCCTCAAGGCCTTGGCTTCGTCCTTCAAGGGCTGAACTCGGCCCCTCAGGCTGACTAGGTCCTCCTGCTACTTGGACCACCTATGCTTCCAGTGGTCCATAATAGCCATACTCCTCTGCAGAAAGACCTGGGCAGCGTCAAGACCTTCCACGGGCCCGACCTCTTCGATCATCCCCTGGTCCTCCGAGCTTAGCGAACCCTTGGGAAAGAACTTCTCGGCGGTCACCCCCGCACTCCACAACGAGTCCATGTCAGCAGAAGCACTCACATGGTCGAATCGCACCTCAGAGCGGTCCTTCCCGAAACGGTGGGCAATATACCGACTCCGGGAAGCCCCCTGCGATGGACTAGATGACGGCGCCGAAACTGTAGGAGTCGCCACTAGGACCTCAGAACTCGGCCCCTTGCCACGATCCTCAGTAGCAACAGAAGCGGCAACAGGCATCCCTTGCTCAGCAACAGGGGCGCCCACCCCTGGCACCTGCAAACTTGGAGCCCCCGGGGTCTCGGCAACGTCCCCTGCCTGCAAAAAACAACCCTGTGTCAAAAGACAAGAGAACAACATAGAAGATAGAAGGAAAAACAAAAAGTGAGGTACTCATCACAGTGGCCTGGGCGGCTTGCTCAGCAACCTGAGCCCCCACCTCGGCAGCGTTCCCTGCCTGCAAAGAGCGATAGTACCTCAACAAACCAAGAAAAACCAACATAGAAGAAAAGTTAAAATAAAACCAAGACACTTACCCCGACAGAGGGAGCAACTTGCTCAGCAGTCTGCGCGGCGACCATTCAGAGAGCCCTTTCAAGCGGCGGACTCCCGGTGAGGTCCATCGCGTCAACATCAGCAGCCTTGGAGGTCACCTCCTCGGCATCTGGAGGGGCAGAGGTCCCCCCAACCTCCTTCTCGGCCCTCTTTCTTTTTCTGTTTGTTTTCAAAGGGGCAACCTCCTCTTCCCGAGGCTCGGGGACCTCAACCTCAGCAACATTGTAGCGGTGCTTCAGCTCACGCCACTTGTTCCTGCCCATTATGGCTGCAAACACAGAAAATAAAACACATCAGCAAAAGAAAGTTTCACAAACCCTAACAACCTAAGGAAAACATAATACTCACTCTCTAAGCCCCTCTCCTTGTACGCCGAGTTTGCAAGCGACAGGACGAGCTTGCAATCCAGCGGGCGAGGAAGCGCGGCAAGGTTCTCAACGGAAGTCACCTCCGAAGCCGTCAATTCCAACTGCCCCACCTCGTGAAACCTAGCCGAAGCGGAGCACCAATAGAAGGGGAACTTCGGCAACCCGCCGAAGTAGAATGCCCCATCCTCCAACGGGTCGACTTCCACCAGCGCCACCCGGAAAAACTCTTGCTTGAAATTTTTATATGACTGGGAGTAAAGAGTGAATAAACCCCCATACTTAATCCCACTCAGGGACAGTAAGCCATAAGACGGAACACCTAGTTTCAGCTGGTAAAAATGAAGAAAAACAGGAAGAGACACCTCTATCCCTAGAGCTGAACACAGGACTTGAAAATCCCCCAAAAAACCCCAACTATTTGGGTGCAACTGGCAAGGAGCTGAGTTGATAAAATTCAAAAAATCACACTCGAATTGAGTGAAAGGAAGGCAGACGCCTAAATCCCTAAAGAAACACTGGTAGAACTAGAAGTGGGGAGGGTCGGCAGACTTCCCCATGTACACACCATCACCGGCCTAACAGGGTTCAAGCTGGATCATTTGGGAAATGGAAGGGTTACAAATTCTGTGTGATTTCCAAACTGCATTTACCTCAAGGAAAGACCGAAACACACTTTGGGTCTCCCCCACTTCGCGCCGGACCCAGTCATAGCCAGGGATGCCTGGAACGAGGTCCTTAGGCGGACCCTTCTTTTCGGCGGTGGCCTTTCCGATAGCCACCGCCTTGTCGCGCCCCTTACCTTTACCCTTGGCAGGCGCAGAAGAGTCGGCACCACCCTCTCCAGCCATCAAGAAACAAAAGACTTGAAGAAGATTTGAGAAGAAGGAAAAAGAAAACCGTAGAAAGGAGGTACCTGGTACTCTTCCTCGGAAAATAACCCTAACAATGACTGGGTTGCCAAAAATAAGCGGCGGAAACTGAGAAGATGGAGATGGAGGATGAACAAAAACGAAGGAGAACAGCGTGCGCAAGAAGCCACAAGAGTGAAAAAGAGTAAAGTGGGAAAGGGAAGAGGCGCGAGTGAGAGAAAAGAGCACCCCAGAATTCAAAACGGTCACAACACGTGTCACCCAAGGGACACGCCTGACCACGCATTAAATGAGACCTATCATGATAGAGGAAGCCATCATTACATAACCGTCATGCCCATTAACGCGCCGACCTCGCGTTTCGAAATATGAAACGACAGTTGCAACACGTGGCATCTTAACAGGCAGATATACACGAAAGGTCACTGCTCCCTGACGAGCTCGGTCCTAAACTCCTCGACCCACGATCTTCGGAGCTCGGGGGGCTAGTGTACTGTCCGTACTGCAAAGTCGAGCTCCCAGCTCGGCATCACAGCGTAGGACGACCTCGGATACGCGTTGTGTGATGTTAGCTCGTCACTTAATCAGATCATAACCGATCTCAGGCCCAAGGCCCAACGAAACCCTAATTCACACCAAGGTACGTGCATTACTTATACGAGACTCATACTCATACAAACCCTAACTGTAGCATCGAAGTCTCTTTTGCAGGTACCACCCCCATCTTGGAACATCAAGCGTACCAGCGAAGGAGGCTCACCGACCTTACCTAGCGGATCAACTCTACCTCAGATCCCCGGTAAGAACATATACCTTAATGAAGCCAATTTCCTTGCCATTGCTACGGAAGCACTGCCTGCAGCACATACGGACATACTTCCTAATCAATCCATGTGGATTCCCGCACACGCGGCTGCAATAAAGGAGAGCACATAATCTAGACGACATCGCTGGAGGTGAGCCGATGGTAGAAGAGGCTATCGTGGAAGTGGGTGGCATCGTCAGTGGCACCGGGGGCCTTGACGTAGACGTCCCAGAAGATCTTCTTGTGGTCGAAGATGATCTGGAGGAGGAGGGAGGGGAAGCCGTAGCGACAGCGGTAGGTGTTGGGGTTAGGGATGGAGTGGAGGTGGACGGGGGTGGTGTCAATGGCGCCGCACATGTTGGGGAGGGGGGTGAGTTCCTCGAAGGCCTGGGTGGTTTCTAGGAGGCGACGCCACCCCACCGGGGTCTTAATGAACTCCGGGTAGAGCTTGGTGGCAAGGAGGCGCGTGACCATTTTGGTGATTTTGGAGACGAGGTAGGGTTCGAGGGAATAACGGGAGGCTAGGGTTTTGGCGGAGAGGCCGTGGGCGAGGCGTGAAAGGACCATGGCAACGGCGTAGTCGGAGGGGAGGGAGAGGTTGGAGAGGGCGATGTGTGTCGAGAGGCCTGCGAGAGTGCCCACTAGAGTGTTGTGTCGAGAGAGTGAAGGGGCCGTGAAAATTTGGCTTGAGTTTTACATCGGTTAAATGCAAAACCCGATGTAGAATAATTTTGTCATTCGATTTTTACATCGGTCAGAAATAGACCCGATATAAAATGGTTTAAATCTTCAATTTATTTACAAAACTGCCACCACGTTTCTTATTTACATCGTTTGTAGAGGAACCGATGTAGATGTAATGATGTAAAATAGTAATTTTGTAGTAGGTAGGCAATTAACTATCTAACCCTTCAATTTAATTAGGTCTTACTTAATTAATAATAAATATTATAGTTGGAATTAATTGTGTTTTAGTTATTGGATTATTTTGCACAAAAAAACATTATAAATAATTATCACTACTATTATTATTAATATGAAAAAAGGTACTTTGTACTTAATAAAAACAATTTAGTAACAAAAACACAAGTTGGTAGTTATTATTTTAAAAAGGGTTCTTATTTATTCTTATATGTAATTTTTTCTTATTTTTATCATTTTTTATTTATTTAGTTTTATCGTTCTTTATTTCCTCCTCATTTACATTATACCAAACTTTTTTCTTCTTTTTTTTTTCTCTGTTACACTGCTCTCAAATTCATAAAATTGTATTAGTAGAAAAAGGTGTTTGTTTAATTTAATCTTTCTTTCGAATTTTTTATTTTAAAAATATACATGGAAAAAATCTAACAAAAGTAGTTTTGGAATTTTCTTTAAACTCATTCCTCGTCTGTAATTTTTAAAACAAAAAACAGGGTATGTCTATTTTTATTTTTATTTTTTTACTTTCAATTTTGTATTAGTTATGTTTTTTCTTATAATTTTCACTCTTAAAAAAAACTTTATAAAAACTATTATATAGTATAAAATATTTAAAAAATGAAAATAAAAACACAATCAAGTAAATCATTCATAATTTGTTAAAATTACTAATATCATGATTATTACTATTCTCTAAGTGGTTTCACGGAGAGCACCCCCACCTCCCGAAACAAAATTGGCACCATTTATATATATATATATATATATACCAACACATACTTAAATACCAACATAACAGTTAATCAACACATCTTATATATATATATATATATATGCAGGTACGGTGGAAGTAGAGGCAACTTAGCAAACTCAGCTACTAATAAAAAAACAAATAATATATGTTTTTTAATTAGTATATATAAATTATTTTTGTGACACCTTCTATCCTGCATGTCATAATATAATATAATATAAAACTAAATAATCTCAATATAATAAATAAACTCAAAGTTCACATAAATAGAGAAAATCACATTTTGACATAAACTAGACTTAGCAAAAATATTAAATTACGAAGGAATTAAAATTAAACTACTCAAAGTAAATAACATAAATCAAATCCTAACTAGTCCTAATTAATTCATCAACGTCACATATCTTATTAGAACAAAGCTCAACGTTGTGGACTAAGCCTCATCAGTGACACTCTGAACACCAAGCTCATGATTACCTGTAAAAACTACAAGAAGATAACACAAAAGAAAAGAAGTGAAAAACATCTCAATCTAGCTCACGGCTCTGGGATGTAAACCGACTAGGCAAACACAAACAACACATACAACATGATATATCATACACAGTTACATATCATCATATTTAACTCATTCATAGCATAGTAAGTAACAACATATAAGATTATAATGCATATGCAATGGACATAGACTATATGTTATCATTCATGTGGCGCTAGTAAAAAGATTACATATATCACACTTGTGCATTACCGCTAGCAATACACGAAGAGTAGTCTAGGAGTACATGCCGGGTCACACCCTCTGTGCACTCTCACTAGAAGGACATACTACCATGGTCTGGTTGGATAGCTAAGCCGCATAAGATACATCCTATGCTCATAAAGGCAAGACTAGAACTTCCAAACCGAGCTATCCCCAAAGTTGGTTCCCAAGCTTTTACACAAACGACCTTCCTTGCAATGCATTCCATATCATATCCTTTAAAAACATTTTATGCATATGATGCATGTCAAACATACTCTATGCATTACATTCACTTGGTCTTATGCCATAACACATAACACATCTTACCATATGACCCTCATAGGATCCATACACATCAAATGCATCAATTTCAAAGCACATCAATCAATTCATACATAGTATAACACCCTAAGATTTTTCTAAAAATTAGTGATTATTAATTAGGAGATGATAATGATTTTATTTTATTTGGTGACTAATAATCTATATATATTTTATTCATTTTAATAGATTTAATTATTCGAGAGGGTATTAGAAATAATGAAAATAAGATGGGGGTTTGGAGAAATAAGATATATATACTAGGAGGGAAGGAAGGGGCTATTAATGTATTATTATTATTATTATTATTATTCATTTCTTCATTTCACGTTCTCTGACACTCGGGTGTTCTAAAGAGAACACATCTGGAGAACGAGGAGAAAGGATCACCAAAAAAGAAGAAGAACATTAGATCTGGTACTTGAGAACACTCATCTCTGGGGATTAGGTGTATGCATGAAGGCTAGAGGGATTGGTCCCCAATCTCATAAGTTTTTTGTTTGATGATATGTTGTGTGCGTTTGATGTAATTTGTCAGGTAGATTCTAAATATGTAATGTATTTGATGATCATATGTCTTTAAGGTAATTAATTGAGTGCTCTATAGAAATGGGTTAGAACCCTAAGGGGGAAATTTGATGAATTAAGGGGTAAAAGTTGTAGATGCTAAATGGTGAATTTCCTAGATTAAAATGAATTTCTAATTAAGTATAAATTGGATGAATGATGAGGGTGAAGTTCGTTCAAAATCTTGTTTTGCATTGATGTGGTTGGGTGCTAGAACGCACGTGGCATCAAGCTCAAATTATTGACGATGGGCGTGCCTTCATATGTATGAAGGCACTACCCAGATGCGTTGGCATCGACTGTGGAAATCTCCATGCCAAGCGCAGGATGTTGTGGTGCTCTCTATTGTGACTTAACACTAGGCATGAGGTATGACGTCGGGTGCAAGAAGAATATGGTGTTCTCTATGATGACTTAACGCCAGGCGTGAGGTGTGACACCAGGTGCGAGAGATTTTGGTTGCTCATTGTGGTGGCTTAAAGCCAAGCACGACCCGCGAAAAACTGGGCATGAGAAATAGTAGGTGCTCTCTGTTGTAACTTAAAGTCAGGCGTGGGTTTCCAAGCCCAGTGTGGATTGTTAAGAGGCTTATTATGATGTTAGGTGCTCTCTGATGTTTTTATGATATTTATGATTGTTTATATGATGATAAATGTATATATATACTTTGTGAATGATGATTATTATTGTGACGGATGATCTTGATGTGGATGGATATAGATGTCGATGAACGATGAATTAGACGATGATCATGATGTATTAATATAGAAGCATTTGTATGGTTGTGACATGCATCATTTTTGCATAATTTTGTGGTTCTGGTAGGAACCTGTTTTATGGTTCTAGTGGGAACCTATTTTTGAGGTTCTAGTGGGAACCTGTTTTGTGGTTCTGGTGGGAACTTGTTACTGTTCTGGTGGGAACACTTTCGTGTTGGTAGCCTAAGGTTAAATCGAAACTTAGGTACCAACTTTATAGACTCAATGATGATGGTCGGGTACCCCATGCATTTAGATGTAGGTGCATATTGCATTGCATTTCTGAGTATGTGTTGGTAAATGGTGTGTTTGTGGATGGTTAATGTTGCCATTACAATTTGAAATGTGAATGGTCATTGCTATGGATTGAAGTAGGAGTTGAGTTGTTGTTATTATATGTCAAGTTATTAATGGCTATCAATATATTATTTATCATGAGTGAAGTTAGGTGAAAAACACATAGAAGGGGGATTTTTAGAATATGTCAAATTATTAATGTCGGTAAATTTCAAGGACAAAATTTCTAAAAGGGGGGAGAATTGTAACACCCCAGTTTTCATACTTTTTATTGAGGGTGATTTAGTAATTATCATAAAATTTATTAAGGGTGTTTTAGTAGCCCAGAAGGGGTCGTTCCAAGCTATTAAAAAGTTTGATATTTAGTAGCCCAGAATGAGCCGTTCCCAAACTGGAATGGGCCATTTCAAACTACTAAAAAGGTCTAAAACCCTAGTTGAGAACGGGTCATTCCAAACATGGCCGTTATGAGTTAAACTCAACTCTAGAATGGGCCGCTCTGGTTTAAAAATGGGTTGTTCTAGATGTGAATTTAACACATGATGAAAGGATCCAGAACGGGCCGTTTTGGATTCGAAATGGGTTATTCTGGCCACTCCTGATGTATATAAATAGCACACTCTAACACTCCCAAAAGGACGTTTTTTCACTTCTAACTTCTATTTCTTCTACACTCTCTGAAGAGCAAGGAAAACCCAGA